GCCGCTGCGGCGGCCTCGGGCCCGGGCTGCTCCTCAGCGGCGGGGGCGGGAGCGGCCGGGGTCTCAGAGTGGCTGGTGCTGCGGGACGGCTGCATGCGCTGCGACACCGACGGGCTGCACAGCCTCTCCTACCACCCGGCGCTCAACGCCATCCTGGCCGTCACCAGTCGCGGGACCATCAAAGTCATCGACGGCACCTCAGGGGCCACCCTGCAGGCCTCGGCGCTCAGCGGTGAGTGTGCGGCGCGCCGGGCGGGGGCCGGGTCCGCTGCGGGAGGAGCCGGGCCCGCAGGATGCCGGGGAAGGAAGCCGCCCAGCCCCGGGGCTCGGCCTCCGGAGGAGGGGAAGCGGCGTAACGGGAGTGGGGCGGCGGGAGGGCAGGGCTGGGGGCTCAGGCCTGGCTGCGAAGGGGGGCCCGGAAGCCGGTGGAGGGAGGACTGGAGGGCTTGGCTGTTTCTGCGCTACAGCTGGGAAGGAAGGACGGGCGAGTTGGGGAGTGGTGGGAGTTGCCTTTCGGGCCTGGAACGTCCGGTGTAGGTTGGTCCTGTGGGAGAGGTGAGGAGGCCTCGGATCTCGACCCGGGAGAAGGCCAGGTCCCCGGCTAGGTCCCGGAGAAGGTGTCGGTACTGCCTTCGGGCAGATCAGAGAGAGAATGGGTCGAAGGGTTGGTCGCGAAGAGAGAGGCTGGTGGCCGGAGGCAAGCGTCCTTGCCGGCATCCTAGCTGCCCCTTCTTGAGGATAGAAGTGGGTCCTCGGCTGTTCCTAGGACCTGCGGGTGCTGGGACCTGCCGCGGGCTTCGGACCCGGGGTGGGGGTAGGGAGGGAAGTAGGTGGGCTCGCTGCCTGCACTGTTCCGTCGGCAACTGGAGGACTCTGGCGGACGCCATGGAAGACTAGACCTTGTCCCCTAGCTCGGGACTTCCAACTTCTACCCCTCGGTGGCGAGAAACTGGGAACCTGCGGTGTAGGAAATGCAGATTCCCTGGGGTTCGTAATGAGGTGAAACTTCGGGCTCTTTCTATTTGTTTTCCCCCATAGTGAGCCGAAAGTTGGGATTCGGATGTATGACCGAGTCTCACCAAGGGAGGAGAGAAGTTCTGGGTGGTGTGCACGTTGGTCCACGGACCGGACTTTTAGTCGGCGTGAGGTGAACGTTCGTGCACCGAGTGGAGTGTTTTGGAATTGCCCTGGCCACCCTACGTGTGGCTGAGATGACATTTCACGTGCGGTTTAATGAGCGACTTAATTTTGATTTATAAATTGAGATTGAAAACTGAGTATATATGAGTGAGTTAGACTCATGCACAGATTTATAATATATACGACTGTGCATTTAGCCAAGTAGAAATAGTTAACGTGGTCTACCAATTCACTTGTATTTTAACAGACAAATTAGGAAAGGTCTTTATTCTAGTTTACTATGTGAGTGATAAGGCACTTAAGTAAATGGAAATTTAGGGATACAAAGGTAAAGTAAGGGATTTAATTTTTTATTTTATTTTATTATTTTTTTTTAATGTTTGTTTATCTTTATTGTTGAGACCATGACAGATGTCCCCCTTTTAACCCCACTGATCCCCTCCACCCCACATCCATCCCACCCCCATGCCCTCCCCACACCAATGTGCATGTCCATGGGCCATGCCCATAAACATACAAGTTCCCTGATTAATCTCTCCGCACCCACACCCCCCTCCTAGCCTTCCCTCTGAGATCCCTCAGTTTGTTCCATGCTTCTATGTTACTGGATTCACTTTGTTCATCAGTTTATTCTGTTTATTAAATTCCACATATAAGCGAGATCATTTGGTACTTGTCCTTCTCCAACTGGCTCATTTCACTTAGGGATTTAATTTTTGTTGACGTGAGAGTTGTGAGAGAAATGGACTGTTTATAGTTATAGAATATAAACCTGGATCATATCTAAGATATGTCTAAGAGAAACTTTTTGGTTGTAGGCTTGTAGTTTTTCCTTTCCTTTCTTGGAAAGACATCTTTGTTTGAAGGTATTCTAGATGTAGCAATGAGCAGTTACTGCAACTTGGACATAACAGCTTGTTTGAGAGAAGGAGATACTCATTAGTAATTTGATATCCTCTTAAACTTACAAAATATTTCAAATTCAAGAAGGTATAAAGAATAATTATGGTGTATCCCCAACTCACTTTAAGAAATAAAACTTTACAAAGATTGTTGAAGCCTCCTCTGTGTCTCTTCTGGATTGTATTCCTGCAACCTTCACTCTTCCATGAATATTATTTTTAATTTGGCTTTATCATTCCATACGTGTCTTTATGTTTTTTAGTATATGCTTATATCTTTAAACAATATTCCATACTGTCTTTCATGATTTTGAACTTTGAATAAGTGATCTCATAGTATATGTATTTGGATTTCTATAAAAACTTTATTAGCAGAAGTCTTAAATGTTTTCAGTAGAAAGAGGAGTCTCATGGAGTTTTATAATATCTGGAGGCCATGTTTGAGAAAAGTAGTATGTGCTAGAATTTGTTATAAGTGGTTGGGGAAATTGGACATATATATGTGTATGCCTGTCCATGAGAGGGAAAAAAATAGTCACTCTAATGGTAGATTACTAAAGGGGAGGGTTTTAGGTACATAACATAAGTGTAAAGGTAGATACATAAAACCTAGCACTGATTTGGCATGACTTAATTGGGGTTTGCTGGGGCATTTGTTAATTAGAAAAGAATGGGATTGGATACAATTGCAGATGCCCATACATTGAGGATTGAATATGTAAATAAAAATATATAGGCCCTGGCCAGTGTGGCGCAGTTGGTTGGAGCATCACCCTGTACACTGAAAGGTTGCGGTTCAGTCCCAATTGGGGCATCTAGGAAGGCAACCCATCGATGTTTCCATTTCCCTCTCTCTAAAATCAGTAAGCATGTCATCAGGTGAGGATTATATGTATGTATACACACACACGCACACATGAGTTACGGCAAACAAAATAAGAGGATTACAGAAAATTTGAAATGGACAATGAACAAATTCTGAAACGTTTTCATCTAAGAGAAGTGCAGTTTATTAATCATAATCACCAGAAGTGGTATAGGGTCATGCATATGTCATTTGTTCAGATGATTTCAGAGGGAGTGCTGCATTTTATGTTTTTCCTGGAATATGTAGGTATTTAGTAGGTTTGTTTTTAAGGATTAATAGAGGGTTACAGTCCTATAAATATAATGGGGAGAAGGTGCCAGTAATGACCATGGTCCTAATATGACCCCTCTTTCCAGTTCATGGGCAGAGAGCTACCTTCTTTTTAAATTTATTTTTTAATTTGTTTTTTATTAGAAATTTTTAATGTTTACATTATTATTGCATGTGTATATTTGGCCCCCTCCCCCTTTTCTACCCCAGAGGAAAGATATCTTTGTTTGAAGGAATAAAGAGTGGTTTAACCAATCCCATATAGTTTTATTGGTGACAGAGTAGTGTGTCTGATGGATGAGTTCAGTTTATAGCATTATGGGTAGCCTATTAGTGTAGATTGGAAGATGGGAGCAGGATTTGTATGTATACGTATTCATTTGGGTGGCAAAAATGGTGAATTTTTGACTGTGTCTACTAGTATATATTTTCAAAGTATCTGTATTCTGACATGAAATGTTTATAAATATATTTTCATTAGATTAAGGAGCTGTGTGTCTATATCGGTTAGGCAAGTATTTATTCCCTATTAGTGTTTAAGAGTTAAGATTTCTGATTCCTTGGCCTGGCATTAAGTGACCTCCATGATCTGGTCTCTACCAGTCTCTCTAGTCTTGTTTGTTTCCCTGTTTTGTTTTGTGGAACTGGTTCATTTAATTTCCTTTCCTAACTCCAGTACTTTTGTCCTTTCTTGGAATGCACCAACTCCCTCCAGACAATTAGATCTAATCTATTTTTCAAGACCCAGAGCAGATCCTAACTTCTGATTCTTTTAGTCTGAAGTGATCCACTGAACCCCTAAGTACGTATTGGCCGATTAATAGCTATTTTAGTAATTTTAAAAAATACATATGTTTTTATTGATTTCGGAGAGAGGAAGGGAGAAGGAGAGAGAGAGAGTTGAAACATCAGTGATGAGAGAGTTGTCATCGATCGCCTGCCTCCTCAGGAATCT